GTATAAGCATTCAGAAGCTTTTTATTGCACAATCAAATCTTTTAAGAACAAGCCATGTGTAACAGGGAGCTTTACAGTCTTTTTCTACTATGGAAGTGGATTGAAGATATTTAAGTAATTGATCATATTTTTCTCTAATGCTATTTATCAATCCAATTTAGTTCAGTTTAAAAGGAAAAAAACTAAGATGAGCAAACATATAAACATAGCCTCCCTCACTGTGGCTCATTGTTGGGTCATAAAAATTTGCAAGGAATCAACTGGCAGCCACAAGAGAAGGAAATGTGATGATGGGAGACTAGAAAGCTCCCATCTCTATGAGTGTTGTCAGTCTGGGAACCAAGTGCTCTGAAACTTCTCAAAAACCAAACTCACTGCCATCAAGTCGATTCCAACCCATAGCGACCCCCGTTGGATTTCCGAGGCTGTAAATCTTTATGAAAGTAGGTTGCCCCATCTTCGTTCTACAGAGTGGCTGGTGGGTTTCAACTGCTGACCTTCTGGTTAGCAGCCAAATGCCTTATCCACTATGCCATCAGAGCTCCTTTAGCAATGGAGAATTCTGCTCAAGGACAACAGCTGCTATGCCAAGAATGGTTCTAACTAAACCAGTCATGGGATGGGCTGGCACCTTTGATCCCAAGAGATATCTGAATTCTCCTGTGGTTTTCTCCCATGATACCTGGCTGCCTGGAATGATCAATCCCCACTTATCCTCTGCCATTCCTTAGTGGAGCTCCCTTGCTGGTCTTCAAATGGCTATGTAGCTGGCTCAGATGGTTCAAGTCCTGAGGCACCAGGGGATCTTGTGGTACCCACAGTGAGCTTCAGAATGGGGCTAATGAAAGTGATCGTAAAAGCACATTGCCCTCTAGCATGTTGGCCTTCTTCCTGTTAGCCCTCCTAACAGTGGTCCCATCTTAGAGCCTTTGGACTGAACTCCCTCTGCTGGGATTGTTTTTCTACCAGACTGTCACAAGGCTGGCCTTCCTATTCTTTAGTCTCATCATAAATATCACCTCTTTAAAGAAGCCTTTCCAGTCCCACCCACAACAATGCTGCCAGTCCCCTCCAGTCACTGTGTCTCTTATTTGGTTTTATTTTCTTCATAGCACACATCTTAATTGGTTTTTTTTGTGTGTATAATACTTGTCTCCCCTGACTAGAACGTAAGTTCCATGAGGACAGAGGTCTCGTCAGTGTTGCTCACCTTTGCAGATTCAGCATCTTGAACACTACGTTGCACATAGCATGTGCTTGATAAACGTTTATGGAAAAAAATGAATTAAATAAACAAAGCAATAAACAAGACACTTTGCTATGGAACCAATGAAAAAAGATTAAAGTCGAATTTGTCACCGAGTCATCAATCACTGCTGCCATTTTCTTTTCAATTTTCCAAGTAGGACCAGTGGTGAAGCTACACGCGAACAGAAGAGTTAGGAAGCAGAGCAATAGAAGACATGGCTTTTTTTTCTTCCCCCTTTCTGTGCTCTAAACATAAAATCTTTCTGAAATAATTTGCAGGGGATTCTCGAAATAGAAGAAAAAAAAAAGAAGAATGTATCTGGATGTCAGCAAGGTAGTTCTGCCAACCTAATTATGCCCGTGACATGTAATTGTGAACTGCTGAAAGACAAATGGTGAAGGAAAGCATTTATTGTGTACACATACAGAGGGAAGACTGAGGTGTTAATTTTGAAAAAACTGTCATAAATCTAGTCTCGGGATATTATTCCATTAACATTATTACTGTTACAACAAAGAGAATAAGCATGATGATGAACTCCTCTCATGTATTTCTCAAGACCTGGGAATTAGGCTCACTAGTCAATCCTCAGCTGAGACATCTGAGAAAATACAGGGACACAATGAAAACAGCACAGTACTAATCATGCCAACATGAAGAGAGTGTGGTACACGTTGGAGATTAATTTAAAATGCATTTATATCTTGGTATAGACATCCTAATACACAATCCAAGAAACATAGACTCCACAGCTCCAGATACAACAGACTTAACATTTTTAGGAAGCAAAAATTAAAATGGAATAAAACCAGAAAGCCCACCCTTACCTAAATGAGAGAAGTATGGTAATGGAACTGCCAACAGAAGGATTTAAAGGCAAACGATCAACGTTTCTCAGAATCAGAATAGGATGAAAGCATCTCTCCCCTGGCAAAGGGATTCAGAAAAGGATGGAGCCTGATAGGCATTCTGTTACAGTAAAAGGTAACAAAAATCATGAAGTATGGTATTGATACATGTTGTAGTTATAGCAATGTTTGAAAAGCAATCCAAGTGGCTGAAATATTGTGTATTTGCCTTCTAACAAACTGATTTGGCATTATCAAACATCCCAGTAGCACAAATGTGTACTCAAGTGGAATATCAGAATCAAGCTTACACACAGAATCAGAGAGGAGAGTCTGAAGGCTTTACACCCAAATTATGACATATCATGTTTAAAATACAGTGAAATCATAGTACAAAGCATCCAAATTTTTTTTAAAAATCTTGAAAAGCTATTAATAGTTTATTTGTCTCAGTTCATGTGGGAATGTTTAATATCATTTAGCAAAAAATACTACTAAAATGATATTTATTATGATTAAGACCTAATCACTCAAGAAGTCCAGAGGTACAAAATTTATGATCTTACAAACATGGTTATAAAGTGTAGACCCAGGACAGAGCCATCTAATTTGCCAAGAAATCCTTTGATGTGTCAGGGCATTAGAACTAAGAGGCCAATGACCACTTTCGACCAGTTTCAGTGTGGAACTCTTTTCAGAAGGCTCCTCCCAGCCTTAGGTTTTCTCTATTCCCACCCTGAATTTGAAGTCGACCTACAAGACTATCGTTTTTGTTCCAGCTTTGCTTTACAAAACCCCAAGCAAAGGCTTCATCGTAAATAAAGCAGCAGGGCCTCAGTAGCCAGCTGAGTCATAAACCCCGCTCAGTTGCATGTGGCTCAAGGTGTCAGGATCCCAGCAGAGTCAAGCCAAGCAAGTGGAATCAATTTAAGCCCCAGTTGCAAAACACAGAGAGTCGCCGCCGCCGCCTGCCCCCCACCATCCCCGGCAGTGGAGGAGACCACAATGCCCCTCCACAGCTCAAAGACAGGGAGCAGTAACGAAGCCCAGGGAAACATGTAGACCAGGGCAGACTTTATTTTCAAGTCTAAAAAGAGAGAAAAAAAAAAAAAAAACTTGGAGAGAGAGAGAGAGAGAGAGAGAAGAAAGAAAAAAGCTATTTGACAACCACAAATTTTTAAATGTACGGGCTGCCTGTTTTTCAGCATAAAAGTAGTCTTGTTGCCGCTCGATTATCACACCACATTTGCGCACTGTACCATTCGGCTGGAGGGCACTTAGGCTTACTTTGAAAAGAAAGAATCAAGCATGTTTAAATCACTTTAAATATCTCAAAAAAGCAGCAAACACAGCCTACCTGCCTGCGCATGAAAACTTGAAAAGAGAAGCTTTATGGAATGGCCTACAGGTCAACAAATTCTGGTTTTGGCAGACTGATTTCAGGAAGGAGCTATAGAAAATAAGGTCCTCTGTATGAAAAGTACTCCACCTTTGGTTCCCTCAGGCCAAAACTGGAACTCTTAACAAACAGGCCCTGAAAATTGCAACTCTATGAAGTGCTAAAAACTCCCCCCAAAATACGGCCCATAACATTGTACACAAATGAGAAACAATAATTCTGCTTAAATTAAGTCCAGTGGACTCTTCAAAGAGACTGAAGAAGGTCCCTTGTTAAGACAAACTCTACGTACAGACATCCAAAACAATTATATGATGCACATAACCAAATATATATAATTATCCTAGTTTCTACATTCCCATTATGTTCATAAATATAGGATAAAAATCCATCTAAATGACTTTCTCAGACCTCCTCAAGGATTAAGGCTAGCCTGCCAGCTTTTAAAAAGTATATGTACGTAGTAAAGATCAAAAGCAAATGTTCTGGTCAGTTATTTTCTACTCGGGGGTTTTACTAAGAATGTGTGCAGTTTTCAGGGAAAACACCACAAATGACAGCTGCTCAAAAGCATGGAAATTAATTGGCAGCAGGAATTTCCTTGACTAATAGGGAAAAACTTAAAGTCACATGTTTTGATGAGCTTACTTTTCCCATCCTTAGTCAAGCGTATTTGCTGTTAATGATTAAGACTTTCAAATAGAAAGAGAACCAAGTATAACTGCATCCATTCCCTATCTTTCCTCAATGAAATGCAGCCACCCGTCACTGAATGGAAGAGTGACATTAATGGGTGGATTTTAGGGGTGAATCACACATAGTAAAAATATTCAACTAACAGATTTTCATTTCTGAAAGGACTAAATTGAGGCAACAGTAAGAATAAAGCATTTATTGTATTAAAAAATAGTAACAAGACAAGTGACCCCCCTCATCCCCACCTCTTGAATAAGACATCTGCTATGAGCTGTTTTTCTAACAGTGATGATGGATTTACACTGATCCATCCACAGTCTCTCTGACACAGAGGCTCTCAAGTAGTTGCCCTTGTGACCAACAGTGCGAATGGATGGGACAGCTGGTCAGGATTAGGCAAGCAGCCCGTGACCCTGATACCAAGTCATGTTACTGTGCCCAGACACTACAGCTATGACCTTGGCCTCACTGGCATTGTGCTCTAACCACCTAAACTAACCAGCCACAGATCAGCCATGATCCAACAGACATCACTCTACTACAATGTGTTCTTAAAACCTGGCAACAGTGTGAGTGCTTTATGTTCAAGGCAATATGAATTAAGCCCGTGGTGCCCAAAAATCCATGCATGGTGATGCCTACGCTAAAACTGTCCCTCAGGGCAGCAACGAGAGAGATGTCCAAGCATGAATGACTGCAGTCCTTCCATCCTGATTAAATGATGACTCAGAGAGAGCTCAGGGAAAGTAAGAAATAGTCAAGGGATTACCAGCCAATGATCTCCAAATGCCACACCGGAACAACATACCTGGCCATCCCCAGACTTGGAAAGTTGGCAGGGACAACGAGTACATCCAGCCTGGAGAACGGGTGTGTTCCCAGGATAGAATGTGCTGCTGAGAGGCAAGGAGGGATCAGCTGCAGAAGGGTCTCTTGACAGACATCTCTGAGACACACTGGGGTGAAGACCCGATGAGGAATAACATCCTGGGTGGTGGCAGAAACACTCTGGAAGCGGCAGGGATAGTCCATGTGACTACAAACATCAGCATACCTGGGAACAACACAAAATAAACAGACACACTTTATGGTAAATCATGTTTATTCCTTTTGCCAGGGAGGTGAGGAACTCTCACAGACATGGACAGCTTTTAGGAGAGAGTGGGTCAGTGGGCTCATAAGCAGATGCTGTTCATTTGTATTCCTGACTCATTTGTTTCTGTGCAGTGAGGAAAAATTACAAATCAAGATAATTATTGATGTGCTTGAATTGATTGTGTAGCTTTAATGTAAGCTAAGTGAAAGTAGTGAAGTCTTATTTTAGAATAAGTTGTAAATTAGCAAAGTCTTATTTGGAATAAGTAGGGGAGAAAACCCAAGACTCAAGAGAAAAGAACTCCCCACTAAAATGAAACACAATTTCTGCCCTCTGTAATATGTTTTCAAATATCACCGTGGGAAAAGTCTTCTCCAAATCAGTGGGTAATTCATAACTCAGAAAGGAAAGGATGGTACAACTAAAGATTCCATTCTGGAATTTCCTCGAATAAAACACTTGGACTCAAGTAGAACAATTAAGCAAGTGACTGGACAGGTTCAAACTTCTCAAGAGAACACACACCACGTAACTGAAACATCTAGCTATTCTTTAGAAAGGCCATCAAAAACTGTGCTGTTATAGAATATAAAGGTACTTTTTGATAGAATTTGTTCTCCAATCCACTTTCATTACAAATTTAACCGAGCTACCCTTTTAAGGAAACAGATCGGAGCACAATCCACACCATCTGACCACTGCCAGTTATTCCATTAAAGGCAGAGCTGGGAAAAAAAAAAAAAAAAAATTCCTCTAACTTGACTCACATCCCTCAAGAGAACTTATCTATCCAAATACACCCAGATCAAAGGAACATTCTATTTTTCCACCTGTTAACAGGCCCTTTATTCAAGACATAATGGAAAGCCCCTCTAATTTTAAATTACAAATAACAATTCTAACTATATATACGTGCTTATTAGATTCACAGTGAATGCTAAAAGACCTTAAAATGCTGGCACGTCCCAACATGGGCAGACGGCAACAATAATTTCTCACAACAGTGATAAAGTGCCTTTCACCCACCCAAGCCCAGCTCTCTGGAGAGCCATACAGCTATGTCAATAAGCCTCACCCACTACCAGCCTGGTGTATAGAACCAATTTCACCAGAGTTGAAGGTAAGAAAAATGGAAGGAGACCCATAAAAACTCTTGCCAGGTTAAGGTGAAAGGAAAAATAGAATTACTGACCTTGAAACCTAGCCAAAGTACCTGGACAGTTGCCTTGCTTTTTGGAAAAAGTGAGTAAAGGTGACTGTTGGTAAACATTTAACTGAAAAGGCTGTATGTACACCTAATGACAAATAGGTACAGGTGGATCAACTCAATTAAAGGTTTCACAAAGTGAAAAAAGCCATTTATCGAATTAACTACAATACATTTTCCTAATGTATTTACACAGGTATATTGTGCACTATGAAGTCCTTGAGTGGTGCAAATAGTTATCATGCTTGGCTGCTAATCAAAAGGCTGGTGCTTGAGTCTACCCAGATCCACCTTTGGAAGAAAGGCCTGATGATCTACTTCTGAAAACCCAGCCATGGAAAACTCTACGCACTGAGCTGTAAATGTAGAAGTTGTTATGTCGGTGAATATCTTGTATACATTTTCACCACAATAAAAGGAAAAAAAAAAAAAAGAAAAACCCTATGGAGCATAGTTTGTACTCTGATATACATGGGGTCACCGTGAGTCAGAGTTGACTTGTTAGCAACTGGTATTATAATGAACTATATTAATTTAGGAAACGCTGGTCACTTAGTGCCTAAGGCATTTGACTGCTAACCAGAAGGCTGGCAGTTCAAACCCACCAGCCACTCCTCAGAAGGAAGATTGGGCAATCTACTTCCATAGTGATGTTGTTGTTGTTGTTATTTGCTGTCGAGTCAGCCCCGACTCATAGCGACCCCTCCTTGGGTTTCCGAGGCAGTATCACTACAGAAGTAGGATTGCCCAACCTTCCTTCCAAGGAGTGGCTGGTGGGTTTGAACCGCCAGCCTTCTGGTTAGCAGTCAAGTGCCTTAGGCACTATGCTACCAGCAGAGCTCCTTCCATAGTGATACCGCCTCAGAATCCCAAGGAGGGGTGTGGTGGTTAAGTCTGTATGTCAACTTGGCTGGGCCTGGTTGAGTGGCTGGACAGCTGAATGTCATTCCCTATGGTGAGACTGGTAATCATCTCCTGGTGGAATCTATTGGAGCAGCTGAGTAGCTGCTTTGGGTATGTGGTCTGCTTCCTGTACATAAGAAACAGCTTTGAGAATGGTCTCTAGTTTATGGCACGCTTGAACCTGCATGTAGCCAAGTTGTTGTTCAGCAGCCTGCCTTGCTATGCCGATCTTGGGACTTTCAATGGACTTGAATTAATGGCCTGCCATGTGGTTTGGTAACATCGGGACTGTGCCTTATTACTTGTCAGCAGCCAGCAGCTGAGTGAAGAAAAGCCCCCAGCTTCAGTGGGCCAGAAGCAGGAGACAGAGCTGAAGCCCAAGGTTGAGGGGCTTTCACCCACCCCCTAGAGCCTGGCACTTTGAACTCAGACTTAAAGCTTCCAAACTGTTAAAGGATAAACTCTTCTTTGTTCAAGCCATCTCACTGGTGGTATATTCTTGTCAGAGTGGCACTAGGTAATCAGAATAAGGGATCACTATCAATCGGATCTGACTCAATGGCAGTGAGGTGTTTTTTTTTTTTTGTATATTAATTTAACTTTATACACACTCTATTGAAAATCTTTCATAAGTATATTAAATAATTGAGAAGCTGAAGGTGTAGTGTTAGGGCATAAGTTCAAATGCCACTTCCTGAAACATAATTGTGCAGAGAGGCATCCCACTGGCTTATCTAGAAATATATACCATGGGGCAAGATAATTTCTTGTGGCCAAAATTCCCAAAATTAGAGACTAGATTGATGTACTCAAAGATACACCAACAAAGCAAATTTGTTCAATGGGGAAAGTTGAGTTAAATTCTCTCTGGACATGAATGGCACTAACCTAGGTAACAACACCTATTCCAGTTGTATGAGTTAGCACTGTCTCTGGTAGCATAGTGCCTAAGGCACTTGACTGCTAACCAGAAGGCTGGCAGTTCAAACCCACCAGCCACTCCTCGGAAGGAAGATGGGGCAATC